AGGGGGAGGCGGGGGAGGCAGAAAGCAGGGGGAGTCCAGTGGCACAGTGGTTGCTAAGCCATCTTTGTCATCATAGTGGGACAAGCACATTCAACCTTGTCCTCTGTACCCTCCCATCTTATTCCAGACACTGTATTGCCCTCCACTGAAATCCATCAAACCCCCTCTCTGGTCCCCTCCCCCCGTTGCTGGATGCTCTCCGTTGGTGTCTTTTCTTTTTTAAAGGGCAGAGATGCGTCCTGGGCTCTGCAGTCTTTCCAGGCGTCTAAATTAATTTGCGTCTGGGCAGCAACATAAACAGCACGGGGCTATTTGATGAGAGTGTAGGGCAATGTCATGCACTGGCAGTCATGCCTTGATCTCTTGCTTTCTTTCCTTGTCACTTTCCACCTCACCTTAATGCCAGCTTCATGCCAGCCTCATCCACACGGGTGGCACACAAACCAAGACTTCTGACTCTAAGTAATAAGTGGCGAGCCTGAGAAACACTTAAAATCTCTGCTTTTGTGTGTGTATCAAATGTCCTTCTTAATGCAAGCTTAAATTACCAAGCCGCTAAACACACCAGCAGCCCAAAAACCAAAGCAAAACAAAAAAAAACATGTATTGTCCACACAGCAAATAAAATAAGAATGCATTGAACTGAATCATTTCTAAAATCCTGCAGCTAATTTTCTGATCAATACCTCAAGAACAGATCCGTTTCATAATAATAAGCACACACACACACACACACACACACACACCGAGGACATCTACAAAGCAGCATTCCTTTAGTTTGGTAAATGGATGTCAGAGTGAACTTAATGCAATTTGACATGCATTTGAAGTTTTGATCCAAAAGGGAAACCGCAGTTAGTGTCTAATTAGCATCCCTAAATAATAAAGCAACTTATACTAATAACTATTGCATGTTCCCATTCTACCAGTTGCACTGACAATTAACCTTTCTCAACTGGTGAGGCAATTTGAGTAAATCCTGTTATCAGCAAATATAACACATGGCACACCAACACGTTTCAAAGCCCACTCAAGGAAATCCATGCAGTGTTTACAGTTGGAAAGCAGAACAACAAAACAAACAGCAGATATCTACTTTCAGTAAACACCACCCAACAACTTATACAATGTCTTCCCAGTGGCTTAGAGTGGGTGGGGAATCAACCTTATGTGGCTGCTGTGAATGTCACTGAACTACTCATATTTACACAGGCTTAATAATGCAGTGACAAGGTCTCTTTAAACACAGAACGGATGGTACTGAACATATCAGGTCAATATTACCCCAGGGTCTGGTTTTATAAATGTGTTGCTCACAAGAAGTTGACAATTTTTTTATTATTTTTTTTAGAGATAACAGGCTGCCACATGTAAGAAACAGAGCAGCGACTGAGAACTCATAAAAGAAAGTGTGGTTGTCTAAAGTGCTGCTGACCACTGTCCATAAAACAAACGCATTCCAAGTTTCTGATATTAGATCACTGGAGCCAAAAACATGATTACCCAGAGACAAAATAAAGGTGAAAAGATTCAGGATTGAGCGCTCTCCCAAAATTTCTCTCCTTCATCCCAATTTGGCAGCACTTGGCTTGTTGCCCACTCACAGTGTGTGGATGGCCCTGCCACTGTTGCCATGGGGATGTGTGGACCTGCGCAGGCCCTGAAGGCAGAATGGCCTGTGGTGAGGTGGGGGTTATCATCAGCAGCAGACTCTGCTGGGCCCCCATCCAGAGTCCTGGGTGCAGGAAGAGCTGCGAGGCAGCGGTGGTGGCAACCACCCAACCCTCCTCCCATCTCTACGGGGCCCCTCTCCCTGGTGGATGATGCCGTTGTTTTGAACCCAGCGGAGGCTCTGTGATGGGACGAAGTAGTGCAGGGCTCCGGCCTGTCCCCCAGGGGTCGACTGCCTGACTCCTGTAAGCCTAGGCCAGACGGGGTGGGCTGGGGTGGGTTCAGGGCCAGGCGAGGAGAGCTGGATTGTGGCCCAGTGTGGTGACTGCCTGTCTACCCAGGCGCTGGGCCACGCTGCTACTCTTCCCTGGGCTCGTGCCCCTGCACTTGGATTTCAAAGGGATGTGACAGGGGGACTGGCTTTCCCTCTCAACTGCAGGATCCATGCCCCACCAACAGCATCTCCAAAACGCCCCCCCACACACACACACACAGCTTTCAGTCCTCACTTTCCCCCAGCCCCCCAATGCCCCTCCAACAGCTTTTCTGTTTCAGCAGTGAACCCAGGCTCCCACTGTGCCATTCCCACCACTGCTGCCTCACATTTGGGAGGAGAAGGGGGAGGTTGTGTTGTTACACTGCACCCATCTGCCCCATGTCTTTCCATGCTGCGGACCATGATGCTGCAGCATGGCTCTCTGGGCGCTGTAAAGACTTTGGCAAGTACACTGGGACTTCAAGCTCCCCTCCCTTTGTACTCTCCCTGTCCACCACATGCACACATTGATGCACACCATCTGATTTAAAGTGTGCTTACACAAAAACTAGTACATGTGATCATGCTCATGGACTGGAGAGACAGATGGTGCTTAACACAGAGGCTGATTTAGACAGAAATGGACAAAAACAAACATTATTTTGAAATTGTTCAGACTACTTCTGTTCCACCCACTGAGCCCTGAGCTATCTGAGAAAGATTTAAGTCAGACACGGTGCCACTGTGTCAGTGTGGCAACCAGCTCATTCCTCAACTGGCCCATCATCGGTAAGTATCCTACAACACCAAAATGACACTGACAGGCTGCGTTTCAATTGGCCGAGACACCCCCCACCACATATCTAGGTTTCTCTCTTCATCGCTCCCTGCATGGCATTTCTCTGGCAGGTCCTCTAGTGAAATTCCTTCCATCCTGGTCTCAACATTCCCGTAGCCAGCCTCACTGGCTGGGCAAGCGCAGAGTGGCTGGGGCTGGGTGGGATGCCCCCCACCCCACCCGTTTGCTCTCAAGCTATGGCTACAACTCCAGCCCACAACACATTCCTCCAGCCACTGACCAGTCCCCCCAGCAACCAGGAAAGAGGTGAAGAGAGATGGAGGCTTAGTGGTGGTGTGTTTTATATTATCTGCAGGACTACTAGACTACACAAATTAAAAATGTACATGAAATATCTTGCAGGAAACGGCTTTAACTCCCCATGTTTGTCTACGTACGTGTCTTCAGTGATTAGTTTTGGTTTTTCCTTTACAAAGGTTCAGTTCAGTGTAAAGGCTCCTCACTGGTTCACTGATGCTCAACAAGGTACAAATGTAAATCTAATGTTTCTCAGCATGTTAACAGACTCTAGTCTCCGTCGCTTCTCGGTCCTTCGCGGAGATGTAATGTGGTGCATATCACAGTCTGTCAGGCCCAAGCTGCTCCTGGACAGATCAAGTACTGTAGCAACAGGACAGGATCCGGACAGTCCCCTCCTCCACTCCCTCCTACTTCTCCCCCAAGCCGAGCTAGGCGTTGTGTTTACTCTCCTAATTACAGGGGAGGGGCCGGCTGACAGGCGCGCTATCACAGATTCCCCACAGGCCCGGGGCTGGGAACGCTACAAAAACCCGCCGCTGTCTCCCGAATGTCCAACTGTCATGAGGGGAGCCTTCTCTGGCAAAACCCAAGGGCCCAAAGAGAGATATTAAAAACATGAGAGGAACTGGCAGAGCTGGCACTAACAGTGGGGGAACACTTGAGAAGTGGGGAGCTGGGGGCATCGCCAAAGTGTCATTCAAAGCAAAGTGGAGTTTGGGCAGGGCACAAACACTGATGTACACACAACATTGCTCTCACTGTTGTTGAACTAAGGCAGGAGAGTTACATGTAGCAGACAAGACATCTAAGCGGTAGAGCCACCAAACCATGTGATGGACCATGTTCATGAACAAAGTTAGTCCACTGGATTACTCACTCCATCTGAACTATCTAAGAAAACATGCTGCAGTTTAACTATTTGTTATTTCAGGACAGCAGCTGTAAATACACACCACTTGTTTTTAAAGCCCCCTTCCACTCCAGTGCAGAGTCTGACACGAAACGGCTGCTTTTGAAATTCCTTTGCTGAAGTGTTTTCTGTACTCACCTTATATCTAAGTTTATGACTTTGTGTCGCACATTACAATGTGTCTGAAAGGGAATCGTTTCAATAAAAAAATTACACAAGTGTGATATGAAAACTCTAATCCTCCAGTACATAAACACAGACAACGGACTTTTCAAAAAGTAGAAGGCACATTTTATCTATCGTAAACCTCTGAAAGTAACCCTGCAATTTATTCTAATTTTTCAATGAGGTAATGTATTTTTAAGAATTTTTAATGAGGTAATTGAACATTTTTGCATAAAAACCATAGCAAACACAATATATTGCCCAAACCTGAGCATTTCAATGCCATGCATGGAGAGAATCTTCAAAATAAGACTTCTTAGGCTTGTGTATTGTTTTACAATACTTTGTAACAAGTATAAAATGATATGGTGGCACAAGGTTTCTACTTAACTACACTGATGCCAAGTATGGAGCACTGCAATAAATGTTTTAAGTTTAATGACCTGTACCTATAGAGTGTGCATGTGTGTAACCCTCCTCCCAGAAAAGTATAATCCACTAGAGGTTGTAATGCCCCGGTGGTGTTTGTTGGCGTGTGTGTGTGGGGGGGTCTCAGATCCTCTCTGGGAGCACATTGACTGACACCATCATATATTCAGTTCAAACAAACAAAAAAAAGGCTAAACAGAAGAATCATCTCTTCTACAGCTCTCCAGCCAGGGGCTGGGGTCCGGTTCTCTGCCGGCAACACACACCTTGGCCCCCGAGAGGCAAGACAAGAAAACCATTTGATAAATCATGAATAGTCACTGTTGTGCAAGTGCTGTGACCATTTCTAAAATTTATTATGGGGATTACACACAAAATCACACAATGTCATATTTTCAAACGTGTTATGAATGCCTCCCAGAATCCAATTCAAATCCTAGGTTACCAAATAAGCCTGAACAAATCCCCCACATTGAGTTCTTCCTCCTTTGAAGACTTGAGAGGTCCGGTCTGCAGGGCAGGTTTTACCATGCCATGCAAACACCTCAGCACAGAGGAGACGGCTACTGACGGCCAGGTGAAGGGAGAGAGAGGGAGAGAGGGGGAGGAAGCAGGGCGGCGGTTTGACAGTGATATCAACATGGACATATTTAGTGGCAAATAACTGTTTAATTAAGTTCAATCCAAGAAGAGAGACAGAAATGTGAAAGTAAACAAATTTTGCTTCATTCTTCGGCAGCGATACAAAAACAATATCTTGAAAATGAGCACAATTAATATGAAATATATGAAAAAATGTTCGTCCTTGTAGAAGAAGCGAGAACTATCCGGGGTGTGTTAGGAAGAGTTCTTCGGTGTCTTTTCTCGCCTTGTATTTGTCCTTGTCACTTCTCCACATGCCTTGTCTTTGCCTCCTCATTGATGATCTGAAGGCGAATGCGTTTAATTGCATCCGTTTGTCTGTTGGCAAACTCCTGCGCAAAACACAACGCAAACAATTATGACACTAATTAAAAGCCATGTCATATTAATGGTGGCAAACGCACACACAACAGCGTTATGCACGCACCACATTTACATTTATGGGGAAATTTGTGGAGAAAATAAACCCATCATTTCATGATCAGTGCAAATGTGTAACCTGAAATTTGAACTCATTCAAGAGCACATGCGTTTTTTTTTTTCTAAATAATTTTAAGCAGAACTTTAAACCAAAACTAAAAGCTCAAAGATGCAAAGCGCTGACTGTGAGTAAACTCTTCCCAAACTGACACTGAATAGGGTTTCTCCCGCTTTAATCCCTGGGCTGGATTCTGGATGTGTGCTGATGACCTCGAGGTCAGTTACATGTTACATTACACAAAGGCGCAGCTCCTGTGTGATAAAGAAAGATCGTGGGGAAACCCTCTGTTTGGACATCTCGTCACTGTGTGGTGCACCTTTCTGTTGCAAAGCAGCTGCGGAGACGTGCACAACAAACCTGCCGGCCTCAAAAAAAAAAAAAAAAAAAAACCCAAGCTTGTGCTCCCCCTTGGGGCGTCTCTCTCACAACCAAACGCAGACACACACACTGCGGACATGTCCTGTCCCTGTGCTAAATAAAGGTGTGTAACCTCAGACATTTTTATACTTCACCTAGAGATCTAAATAAAGAATCATTTTATAATATCTTACTAAATATTATATAATAAAAAAACTTTTGAACAGATTGTGGAAATACATGATTCTGTAAACAGGAAGGAGAACAGGCATAAACTTATTTTCCATCTAATTTGTATATTTATAATAACTTTGTGTGTTTAATAAAACTATCAAAAAATAAAAAGGTAAAAATAAAAATAAATACATGAATAAAAAAAAACTAATAAAACTGAATAAAAACATCCGATCAAAGTGACTTCTGATTGTTTCCTGTAAACACACTGAGGTACATTTAAATCCCAAACGCAGAAGCATTGACATTACAGATTATCAGCATTTCTATATGAATTGGTTTTAATGGGTTTTCTCCTTTTTCTGTCTCTTCTTTAAGCTCAGAATGAATCCCACCAACAGATTCCTCACGTTAAGCCATGCGAATATCAAACAAGGAAGGCAAGAGGAGGATGATTTGGCCTGGTTAGGAGATGTACTGTATATATTTTTAAACATGCAGGTTCAATTCTGATAATTCATTAATAACATCTATGCTTTATTTTGCAGAAGAGTGGTTTTATTTATCCTATTTAATCTTTAAAAACTACATGTGTTCCTTCTGTGATTATCAAACAAGGGTCAAACAGCCCGGCCTGTGCGATGTATTTGAGAAGATGTATAGCCAAGGCAACGCATTAACTGGTGTAAATCACAGGTTGGAGCAGGCCTGATGAAATCCTCACCCTCAGGTTGATGGTAGCGGGGGCGGAGGTAAAAGCGGTCGTCGTCAATTAGCCGGGAGTCAGTGGGAGTCAGTGGGAGTCAGTGGGAGCGCAGCTCGCCAGAGGCGTTTAGCTCCTTCTCCCTTTAAACGTCCTTTTAAAAATACTATGTCCCTGCGGAGGGCCTCGCTTTACAATTTAATACATTATTTAGCGATTTAAACGGTGAGATCCGGCAGATAACAGCACCAGACGTCACGATTTTCCACGCAGCGTTTTGAAAGTCTGGGGTTAGGGTGCATTACCATGCAGCTGCTAAATCTGAAGTATACACATACAAATATAGTTTTTTTTTACCAGCGAGCTAATTATTTTCTGTTGCCTTCAGATACTATAAAAGTGTGTGGCAAGGGCCCGAGCTCTTAAGGCGTGCATGTAAAATATTATAAACCATTTTAAGGGGTTTTCACTAGGAGTTCATTCTTCAGTGTATTATCCAGCTGCAAAGACAAATAAAGATGAATTTTAAGAAATCGTTAAAAATAGCAAAGAGGTACCTGGATGTGTTGCAGCTCCTGCAGGCTCACACCCAAACTTTCCCTCCTCAGACTTCTGTGCTGTTGTTAAATGAAATCCAGGGATCCACAAAAACGCGTCCTCTGATCCAAATCTGTCAAAAGAGATATCACTGAGTTTGTAAAGTTCATATAGTGTGCTGCTGCTGCTGCTGCTGTGTACCAGCATCTGCAGGTCGGAGGGGTAACCGCTTCTCCCAGCAGCTGTCACTGCACCTTTGACTCTGGCCTCGCACACGAGCCACACAGAGGCGAATGACGATTCATAAAACCCACGGTCTGCCTGTGTTTATAAATCTAAATCAATATTCAAATCTGTTTGAAGTGCGCGGGTGTGTCCGTGCAAACGCGCGGTGTGTGTGAGAGAGACTGTGTGTATGTGCGTGAGAGATAGTGTGTAGGTGTTCCACAAAGCCTCTTAAGACGATACATTTACCAAGCCGTGACAAAAACCCTCGGCATATTATTTGAGATGGGCACGCAGGTTGAAAAGTGACGTGGAGGAGGCTTATTTGTCCCTGTAGCTTGTAGGTCCTCCAGCACAGAATGATGAATCCTTAACTAAACCACTTCTATGTGTGATATTATTATTATTATCTGCTCTTACAATGAAATAACAAACCTAGAAAATGCTATTTCTTCTAAATGGAACCTTAAATAAACAGTCCTACCTTGGTATAAAGAAGCCTTTCATCTTCTTCCACATCTTCGTCTTGACGCCACTTGTCTATTCTCTGCCTTTTTCCTCCTTGCGGGTTTGCGCACCGCAGGTCCGGTGGTGTCTCTCGGTTGCTCGGTGTGTCACGGTGGGAATCCCCCTGTAAATGTTCTGGGTGCTTTTGGGGGCGGGAGGGGGGTTGCAGGCCTGTATCAGGTTGATGTGTCTGTGGAAGGGAGGACAGTTTTAAAGAAATAAGTCGCTCCATAGCCCCCTTTTTTTTCTGCGACGCGCTAGAATATGAGAGGACGCGCAGAGCCCTGTTTTAGTCCAAGCTATCTGTCTCAGATTTATTCTCACCTTCAATTTTCAAACTCTTCTTTATAACAGTAAAAGCTTCTCGTTAATCTTCTCGAGATAAAATTGCTAATGTCTCTTTATTTTATCTTAACATGCTTTCAATTTTGTGGATTTATTTTTACAACGTTTAAAAAAAATCCGACTTAATAGATAAACAGGAAAGACATTCTGGGGTGTTTTAGACGCTCTCTGTAAACATAAATGATGCACTCTTAATTGTTTAAGAAATATGTGCCAATAAATATCTTTACTGTAGCCTACAACATCCTCACAAACTCTAATTGCGCATATTTTCCCTCTTCACCCAGTCTTTATTTAACTTTCTGCAGTTTAATGCTTCCGTTAAATAAGAGCAATGCTTAAAATAAATGTAACAAAAAAACAACTAAACTGACTTTTCGTTTGGTTTAAACTCCACTTCTCGTCATCCGTTCATTTTCAATGTTCTCCCCGCGGTGGGGTGTGGATGTTGTCAGCCGCCCTGTCGCTGCCATTGGCTGAGGACTGTGCGTCAAAAAAGTAGCAGGAGACATTTGTTTCCCAGGGAGAAAAAAAAAGAGAAAGAAATCCTCCCCTCCAATGTGAGAGACGGAGACGGAGACAGACCTCAGCTCGGTCCTGCGGCTCCCATTGGCTGGCGGTTTGTACAAAATCCAAGTCAATCCACTTCACTCGCAACACACCAACGAACCCAAAGGGCGTACATGCAGCCTCTTCCATCAGCCCGCCGGCCCGCCGCTGTCGCACCGCTCCAAAACCTGATGCAGACGCTTAACATTTAACTTCAATCGCACTGTTCTGCCTCTGAAGACTGCGGCCTCCGTTTGGTTGTCTGTTTTTATCCGCCAGGACATCAGTTAATCTCTGCTGCGTTTTATTCCTTCGCCCGGAGGAAACAAAGAACTTTACACTCATCGACGCCAGGGTAAGTTTAACTCTATTATTATTATTATTATTATTATTATTATTATAAATAGCGGCAGAGTCCAAACAGGAAATTACATCCGCAATAAAAACCGCATTAAAAACTTACAACGTCTTTTTCTTTAAATGATGGAAGGAAACTGCTGGACTGTGTTACTGATGCAAAAATAAAGCAAACAGAGCGAATCAAAGAAATGCCAGCGAGAAGGTTTGAGGCTGTTTAGTGGCATCAAAGTGCAGATGAAGGCTAAACCCTCTCCTCGTCTATTTTAGCTGAGGATGCGCACAGAGAGAGTGTGTATCACCACACTCTCTTCAATTAAAGCTGCCTATATTTTAAAAGCGATGCAAATGCACACATTGTACCAAACGAATGGAATTACATTATGAGGATCTTTGCTCGGGTTCAAATCCAAATTAAAGCTTTCCTCTTATTATAGCTGCCTTTTTCATAACCGTGCGATTTGTCCAGGTTTCCCAGTCTCTGACTGGAGCCAGCACCGCAGCCGGAGACGCAGGGTCCCTGTTCAGTCAGTGAAGTTTCAGTGTAACTTGAAGCCTAATTTTCCCACACCACACACTTCCCCTTGAGGTGAATTTACAAAAGAAATGCAACACGACCACTTTGGAGGCGTGAGCCTGAAAGCGGCACTGAATAAAGAAGGAAACTTTAGGCCTGCTGTCGAAACATGTTTCGGGGCCTTTTCTCGCTGTTCTTCTGCTTCCTGAGATGAATCGATTACAAGAAAATAAGCCAACATATTTCATATATTTTCCTGTCGTTTTCGAGGTTCTATTGACAGATGTTGATCTGTATAAATTACGGGTTTAACTGTTGGTTCAAATATTTCTCTGCAAAGGGATTAGTCAGAGTAAAACCATATGATTACAGCCCATTTATGTAAATGTGCAGTTGAACAGTTGAAGCTGCTGAAGAGGACCCCCTGCTTGGTTTGTAGCATCATTTGGCGGAGCCTGAAGCACTCTGGACTATACTGATACCAAACGGCAGCTCCACTTAGATGCTACTCGGATTACCTCGTTAATTCATCAACGGAAAACAAACATTTATCATAATTAATTCTCGGACAGGATACTGGTTATTGAGCGGGTGTGTGCAACTGGTATAGGGCTCTGTTTTAAGTGTGACAGATTGGGATGAGGGGGTTACAACCGTTGGATACTGGGGGAAAAAAAGCAGCTAATCAAGACGCACAGTGGGGATAACGGGTGAGGGAAGTTGAAGTGACAGCAATCACATTTACCAATCAGCGTCACAGGGTACATTATTTCTGCTTAAAGAGCTGAAAATAATCACGTGTTGAACCACGCAAGTATGTGTCTTAAAAAACAAGGCTTATTAAAGTAGATAATCTTTTGCTTTAAAATAAAATATTCCAAATATTTTTTATTCTAAAGTGCCTTGATCAAAAAAGGCTCTAGAAGCTATTTTTATTGATTGTTTCTTCACCTGGAAGACTATTATTTATGCTGATTGTATGTTTCATAGAAAAGGGTTTCATTTATTCAGGTTCTTCTTTCACATTTCACTAATTATCTGTTTAACCCATAAATATAGATAAAGAAAGAGATGATAAAGTGAAATGGCTCTATTCTCTTTTGCAAGGGAGGCTTGTTGGTTATATTTTATTTTTAAGAGCCTCTCTTTCAGAACACTGCAGTTGTATGGACACCTACTTCATTTTATTGTAATCAGGAACAAGCGACTTTAATTGAACTTTCAGGTGACTTGTTGCAATTATAGTGCCAGGTGTATTGCTTTTGGGTTTGTTTGTTTTTTTTTTTTTTGTTTTGTGGGGGGCAGCTGGAGATGTGCTTGCTCCTTTTTGAGGAGCGCCGTGCCTTTTGGAGAGGGCTTATTTCGCGACAGATTCAATACTATCTTCTTCTTTCTTTCTGGAACAGGTGCCCGTATAACACGGACCACAAGGCGAACAGAGGACCCTCTTTACACATCAGGAGCTTCATCCATTTTCAAAATTTTCTCCAACTTCAGCCCTCAGACAAACATTAGCATGATGTCGTATCTAAAGCAACCACCTTACACAGTCAACGGCCTCAGCTTAACGACTTCCGGAATGGACCTTTTGCATCCGTCAGTGGGCTATCCAGGTGGGTCTCAACTTTTTGAAGAATAAATGAGGAGAATTGGGCTTCAAATTAAACGCCTAATAAAGTGGGTATGCTACAATTTGCCACCAGCGTTTGTCTCAGTTCGCTCATGCGTAATTACGCAAAAAAAAACTATTTGAGTTATAGATATGCCTTGGATAAATTGCTATCTTTTTCTTTGGTTTTGTAGTACTTTTCAAACACATACACGAATAACATTTTATTTTTACTTGCAGCAACGCCACGGAGTAACATCTTATTTTTACTTGCAGCAACGCCACGGAAGCAGAGGCGAGAAAGGACTACTTTTACGCGCGCACAGCTCGACGTTTTGGAGGCGTTGTTCGCCAAAACTCGGTATCCGGACATATTCATGCGCGAAGAGGTGGCTCTGAAAATCAATCTACCTGAATCCCGAGTACAGGTGAGTTGACAGGGGGAGGGGGGGGATCCATATTCGATCGATAGAGCACAGTGACTAAGTGTCTTAATTTAACAATATGGAAAATAAACTGACTCAGTTGCGGGGAGATATACTATACAAAAATAGAATGAAACTGTTCAAGAAGCATTCATGTTAGTTGGTGAGTGCGAGTAGCCTGTATATGAAGCTCAGCGTTTTCTCTTCCTTACATCAAGTGGAAAATTTCAGCCAGTGGCGTGAGTTAATTCAGCTTAGCTAAAGATTTCCGTTTTGAGAATTTGGGCAATAAAATGAGATGATCAGGTCCACAGACACCAAAATGCTATAATTTAATGTGAGACAAATCTAGAAATATCTTGGGTTGGATGGAAAATAAATTAAATATATCAGCCTGTTTTACCTTGATATTTAAAAAGGCTGCACTTACAATAGACACAACATTAAAATGTGTGTGTGCTCTTAAACTCGAGGTAACGGGGAATATTGGCTGTATTTAAGATATGACTATAGCATCCCTGTGTCTTTCAGGTCTGGTTTAAGAACCGGCGGGCAAAGTGAGCAGCAGCAGCAGCAGAATGGAAGCCAGAACAAGGTGCGACCTGCCAAAAAGAAAAGTTCCCCAACCAGAGAAGTAAGCTCGGAGAGCGGGGCCAGCGGCCAGTTCACGCCCCCTACTAGCACCACCACTGTCCCCGCAATCCCAACCAGCACCGCCCCAGTGTCCATCTGGAGCCCGGCGTCCATCTCTCCGCTCTCAGACCCCCTGTCTACCTCCTCCTCTTGCATGCAGAGGTCCTATCCCATGACCTACACCCAGGCCTCGGGCTACAGCCAGGGCTACGCCAGCTCGACGTCCTACTTCGGCGGCATGGACTGCAGCTCTTACCTCACTCCCATGCATCACCAGTTGTCAGGCCCGGGCTCGACGCTCAGTCCGATGAGCACAAACGCGGTCACAAGCCATCTGAACCAGTCCCCGGCGTCCCTCTCCACCCAGGGCTACGGGACGTCCGGCCTGGGGTTCAACTCAGCAGACTGCTTGGATTATAAGGACCAAGCGGCGTCGTGGAAGCTGAACTTCAATGCCGATTGCTTGGATTACAAGGATCAAACGTCCTCGTGGAAATTCCAGGTCCTGTGAACAGAGCGATCAGCTGTGAAAAAAGTGCACAAACAGTGACGATCACATCAGACAAGGCGCTGCCATCCCTCAGTAAAAACACTTCAGACTGGTTAAAATGTGAGCCTGGCTCGGCGAGGCAGAGCTGTCAGAGGCCTCGAGGTTTCCACATGAAGGTCTCTGGTCCTCCTAGAGGAGAGGTTTAATTTATTTTAGCACTGGCAGGTGGATTTCTTTTTTTTTCTGTTCATTCACAGATTGTGGCCCCTTATCCATGTCTATCAGTGTGTGCCTCTGAGCGTAAAAACCACCTGTTGAGGACAAACACCGACTGGACTCTGACAGAGACGTACACAACAGCCACGGAACTAGTGTTTATCGGAGGACACAACTCGAGCTCGTTCTGCCGGTGAAGCGCTCGGGATGGACAGACCTCGTATAAGCTTCTTCCACAGTTTGCCAACCTGCCGGCTGAGAAACACGAGGACGGCGTGTGGACATGGATGCACTACTTTATTTAAGAAAAAAAGGTGTTTATAAGGAATCAATATGTAGTTTCTAAGAGACAATCAGTGTGTTATATATATGGTACATGTTTTTTTTAAATCCGTGCTAGCCTTCGAAACTGTGATCTGTTGTATTGTATGCAATTTGTGAGTCCCCCACCCCCCATCCCACACACACACACACACACACACACAGCTGTGAATTTAATAGATTTGTAACTGTTTTTTCGAACAAGATGCTAATGGTTAAATCACCGGCATCACAAAGACACACGGATCTTTCCAGGCACATGGTGGTCAGTAGTAATAACCAAGGCTTAGCCATACTGGACTCTCGGCTGCTGAGAGCTCCACTCCTGCTCCCCTCCACTGATCTCAACACACGGTAATTGTGGATCCTTTACATGGCTCCAAAGATGGTGTGACACCGCTGAAAAGACATGAATAAAGGTCCTGTGAGCGTACTGCTTCGTCAAAAAACGATCTGTGTGCGCCTGCGTGTGTGTGTGTGTGTGTGTGTGAGAGAGAGAGAAAGAGAGAAAGAACAAAGTCTGGCAAAGTGCCGAAAATAAACTGTTACGACTTGATCTGTTGCAGTTAAATCTTAAAGATTAATTATGGAACGAAATCACCAGGTCACGTTTCCCTTTCCAGGGAAATAGGGAGGGAAACAAATAAGATGGCTCAGTATTTTTGTGAACACTTTAGATTTATAAAATCATACAGCCCAAAAATTTGGGGAGGAATAAAAAAAAAGCCCAGACTGTGAGCAACAATTTCCTAACATGGAGGACAGCCGTTTGTATCTGTGTTCATTAAGTCAATAATCACAGTCTGAGTAAGAATTGGAGTCCAGCTCACTTCTCAGTGGCCACCAAACTGTTTCCTATCATCTGAAATCATCCAATATATTAAAACAACGTCTTTTTAAATCACATTGCTCGCATCTACTTTCCTGTAGTTTTACAGCCATTCAGTGTTCATACTGGTCATAGGTTACCTAAAGTAAAACGTTTTTAATAAATGAGGACATTTTAAAGGAAAAAATGAAGAATGAGATCATAGTTTTTTTTGTTTTTTTTTTTTGGCTCTATCCAAGTGGGGAGAATGTGTTTATGTGTTTTAGTTTCCCGGTAGTGTAGTTTAGATATTAACATCAAGTGTGCGGTTTGAGAAAACAGTGTTTAATCCCGGCCTCCAAAAGATGTTAATCCCAGTACTGGGGCCCAAATGCGCGTTTTCATCTCACTAAAAAAATGTAAACACGCGGCAATATTTTATTATTCTATAAATCTTTCATACATGTTGTGTATAGGTCCATACTGGAACGGAAACACTGCAACAAAGCTTTAAAAAGAGGTACAAAAATGACCTAATGGTTTTAGTGAAGCTCATCATTTCTGTAAATAAAAGCAGGACATCCAGTAAATACTCCACACTGAGTTACTACAGCAACATTTGGTGGCGTCTTTTGGAACTAAAGAAAAGCTCACCATTCTATCCATGGAAAATGATCATGTGTCCAGATGACTTAAAGTCACATAAACGTCTACGTCTACAACGTTTTCACCCACCTGCCGAATAAGATGAATTTATTTGCTCACCCTTTAAAAAAAATAATATATTTCTTGTAAGGGTGATTCAGCTGTAGCTACTTTAATTTCACTGAAGTACACAAAGGGGGTTTTCAAAATAAACCCGAGAAGTCAGGAGGATATGAGGGTTTCTGTTGCATGTTTCACGTCAACCTGACGACATGAGACCAGAAGGTCCGAGCTGCTCTGAGATCTGTAATGAGCCGACGTGGCTACGCAGCGCGCCACTGATTAGAAGCCCAGCATTCAATTAGCGTCCTTGACATTGCCAATAATCTCTCTTTCATTGGAGTCTCAGCAAAGAGCACACTAATTAAAAGCGTTGCTTGAAATAATCGAAGAGTTAAAGAGAAGAGTGACTTTGATTCCACTCCTGTGTGTGTCTTAGACTGTCATTTTTGAGTGACTTAACTATACAATAGCTCACATCCACAATTCATTCAAGGGTGAAGCAGGTATAGCTGTTTATATCCTGGTTCTGAGGTGCGTATATATTCTTATCATTTATACTTTTATAATAGTCTAGAAACAATTCATTAAAGCAAAGCCAAGTTCAGCAACATGCATATACTCCGTTATGGATGTAAACAAACCGTTGAACTTGGAAACAATGGCTTAGGCTGTGCAGAGGCCTGCATATTCATGAGCTGCGTCTCCTTTCAGTGTCAACAGCTCCTTCATCCACACTGTGCAAGCCCAAGAAAAGAGAAAGTGTTTGAGAGTGCAGGGTCACTTTGAAATGTCAGCTGTAGAAAAACGCCTATTACAAACCACTGGGGGGAGATGCACCATGCAGCAATAAGTGTCTGGAACAAGGGGAGGAAGTTTGAAGACGAGAAGAGAAGAGTGGGACATATTTCATCTCAACTCCGTAAAATTTCTATTCTCTATCTGTATAAAAGCGGTTGAAGTCATTTTCTTCAAAACGCCATTAACTACAAGACCTCCGAGAAAAGGAACTGCAGCTCAACACCTCTCTCAACATTAGGTGGTGTCACAGCAACGTTAAGAGCAACGCAAACGCCCTTTTAGAGCCTGGTTTAAACAGGAGTCAGGTAGTCTGAACAACACATGGTCACAATCAGTGCTCACTCACACGTCCAGTACCAAGGGAAACGCAACAGCCTCCTTCATCTTCTTGTTGTAATCTTGGAGCCTTGTGTCTTCCGGCTTGGTTTGTGTCTAACAGCAGGCTGCACAGCGGCCCTTGTCCCCTGGTTTGGGTGCAGCCCGGTCGGCCGCAGAGGCGTCATCTGCAAACATCGGCCTGTGCGGGGATGGAGAAGAGTGCGGGGTTATTCAGCCAGTGCGTGGTCGGATCGTGCAGTTATAAAAATGTTACTACTATGCGGACTTATTTCCAAAAAGAAAAAAAATCTACTGTTGTTGGGGTATGATGACTGAGAGCATTCCCTCCATGCTTTCCTGCAAAAGCCTGCAGGTGTTTCTCCACTAAACCAAGACATCAGATGGAACATTCACTGATCAAAACGTAATGAAATGAATTAAAAGTCAAAGTGGACTGGAGATAAACAGGTGGACTGCTTAAAATGTACGGTATGTGCATGTGCATTAAAAATAACACGCAAAAATGTAATGATGCGTACAAATTGCGCCAACAACTAATAAAAAACAAACCTAAATAATATGTCTAAGCTAATCCAGCAGCATCCCCTTATCCAAGATTAGCCGACATTTTCTGAAATTATTTAAGTTTGTGACATCATCAATGAATTTGATAATCTTGTCAAAGATTAAATTAAAAGGGTTTTGTATAGCCTACATAATAACAGATTTAGCAGTTTTAAAAATGAAGTCTAAAGAGATTTGAAGTAAGCGCAGTAAAAAGCATGTTATTTTAATTTCTCAGACGGCTCACATAAATCCATGGATTTAGAGAGATCCAAAAGTGATAATGATAGCAGCAGCTTGACTAGCTGGAGGTCTGATAAGGCAAAAGGGCCACACATTATTTCTACAGCAGTACAGAATCTATAAGGTAACTTCAGCTGTTTCCTTCAGCCTCACAGTTCATCACCTCTGTCCCATGACTGGACGACTTTCTCACCACATGTGCATTTTCATACTGTGGCAACTGGGACTTCATTTTGCCCACATAAGTGCTTTTTAAAAAACTGTCTCACCAAACATGCCTAAATATTTGGCTTATGATGTTCATAAGCCCCACAGGACACAGGGGGGCTTATCAGTTCATTAGCCACTTGATGGCCTATTTCAAGTTATAATAGGTGGGAGGAGGGTGATGGATGAGGATACAGCCATCCATTACTGAGGCATATTTTGTTAAGCTATACAGAGGGGCAGGGGAAAAACCCTCAAACCCATAAGAAGATTACCAGATCTCAGCATATGTTAAAAACACATTATTACTACGCTTATGGGTCAGGTTAATGCCTAGTTAGTTAAAGCCCACCTACAGTAGTTAGGACTAAAAAGGCTGGTCACCGGAAGGACTTGGATTATTTCTAATACTTTACATTTAATTTTGACAGCTTTGGAGAACGCAATCAAAGAAAATGCAACAACTTTTTTTTTCTTAACAAATGCTGAATCAAAACTAAAAGATGTAGTTGGTACATTTATATTTAGTGACCAGGTTTTCGTTGGGGTTAGCGCCAGCACACTGAAATGTTCAGTTAGTGATCATGTACTTTAAGCTTGCATGACTTTCACACTCCTTGGATTTAAAGAATCCCCATTTAAAAAAAAAATTTGCCCATAGAATATACAGTATAATATCAGAGGGTGTGGTTTGAGCCAGAGAATTGATGGACCTAGTGTAATACTCACTTGAAATCCTGTTGAGTCAAAGCACAGGAAGGATTTTAAGCATCAAACGAGAATCAGAAACAATAGAGTATACAATAAACTTCAGTACTGGTATTTAACAACATTTGATAGTCTCTTCTGGCTTAGTACTTGCTTTCAACTGAATTTGGGGAAAATAACAAGAACAACTGACATTTGACATTACATGTAAGCCATGATCAAACTCCTTATTTTATGGCCTCAAACACACCTTTTGATCACAAATAGCTTACAAATTTAATGACTTCATGGTGAACGGAGCCAATTTCTTTCCATCCTCCCAGTATTCTCACCACAGGCTGCACACTATATCACAAACAGCTGCGGTATTTCTCAAAAGAGAAGAAGTAGTGCAGCAATATCATTTCTTAACTCCACATTAATCCCTGACCCCGCTGAATTCAGAAAAGCCATTTAATTTGTAAAACAGAAGCCTTTTCTCAGAAGAATTCTCCATTACCTGTAACAAAATACAGCAACAGTTGCTCCCTCCTCTTCATCATTTATTACAGTATACAACAGAGCTAAGTATGCTGCTGTCCGATGCCATGAAAATGTTAAATAATTTTACCATCGTGCAAACACTGTATTAGTTTTAAGTGCAAGTGTGGGGTGTTTGATCTTTACATAGGATTAAAAACAAACAAATTGGATAGACTATTTTGAAAATATGAGCCCCAAAGTCCAACCTGTATGCAACGAATGTCCGTACACCTGCGATGAAAGTCAGCGTGCCTGGGATCGCTGCATCTGTGACTTCCTATTAAGGATAAGTGTATGAACAAGGTTATAAATATAACCTGTGAAAACCACAGCTTTCTCCATTTTGGCCCGGATTGTGTCTAATATGGCTCCACATGATGAATAATTGCCTGGCCAAGAAACCAGACTGTAAGACTTCATAAAGATGAAGAAGGGACAAGAGCATCAGTAGGGTATTTGACATACAGTAAACTGAAGCACTGCAGCAACACTGGTTAGGAAAAGGTAGGACTACCAACAACAGAAGGCACAATGGCCATCCTCGAAAAATGATGCCAGGCATAATCCGCTGTTTATGTAACCTGGCATTGAAAGACAGACAAGTGCTCTGATTTGGCCCACGGATTATCTGTGGAAACTGGCTTTTCAGTGACCGATCAGATGCTTCATGAATTCAACTCCTACATACAGCATCCATACAGAAAACCACTGCTCACAAAACGGCACAAAACTGCGAGATTAAACATTGCCAAAGAACATGAAAGAGGCCTGATGAATATTGGCAGCACTATCTTTAGTCAGATGATACCAAAGTAAATTAGTATGGATCAGATGAGGTCCAGCAGGTTTGGCAAGGACCTGGCAAGGACTAGCACAGAGACTGCTGTGAAACACGGAGGTGGGAGTGTGCTGATATGAGGCTACATGAGTGTGAAAGGTGTAGAGGAGATATCAAATGGCACAAGGAATGCAAGTTTGTGTACCTAAACACTAAATGAAGAAGCTTGGCAGAAGCTTCTAACAAGACAATGATCCCAGAGACACTGCAAAAGTCACACACGAGCTTTT